GCAATGGCAACAAAAGCCAAAATAGACAAATCGGATCTAATTAAACTCCAGAGCTTCTGTACAGCAAAGAAAACAATCATTAGAGCAAACTGGCAACCAACAGAATGGGAAAAAAATTTTGCAATCTATCCATCTGACAAAGGGCTAATATCCAGAATCTACAAAGAACTAAAACAGATTTACAAGAAATAAACAAACAAGCCTATTCAAAAGTGGGTGAAGGATATGAACGGACACGTTGCAAAAGAAGACATCTATGAGGCCAACAAACATAGGAAAAAGTGCTCTTCATCACTGTTCATTAGAGAAATGCAAATCAAAACCACATTGAAATACCATCTCAGACCAGTTAAAATGGCGATCATTAAAAAATCTGGAGACAACAGATGCTGGAGAGGATGTAGAGAAATAGGAACACTTTTACACTATTGGTGAGAGTGCAAATTAGGGCAACCATTGTGGAAGACAATGTGGTGATTCCTCAAAGACCTAGAAATAGAAATACCATTTGACCCAGCAATCCCATCACTGCGTATACACCCAAAGAATCATAAATTGTTCTACTATAAAGACACATGCACACGTATGTTCATTGCGGCACTGTTTACAATAGCAAAGACCTGGAACCAACCCAATTGTCCATCAACAATAGACTGGATAAAGAAAATGTGGTACATATACACCATGAAATACTATGCAGCCATAAAAAACGATGAGTTCATGTCCTTCATTGGGACATGGATGAATCTGGAAGCCATCATTCTCAGTAAACTGACACAGGAACAGAAAATCAAACACCACATGGTATCACGCATAGGAAGGTGTTGAACAATTAGAACACGTGGACACAGGGAGGGGAGCATCACACACTGTGGTGGGGTGGGGAGGGTGGGGAGGGATAACGTTGGAGAAATACCAGATATAGGTGATGGGGGGAGGAAGGCAGCAAACCACCTTGCCATGTATGCACCTATGCAACAATCCTGTATGACCTGCACATGTACCCCAGAACCTAAAGTGCAAATATATATGCACATAAAATTAGCCTGGCATGGTGGCAGGGGCCTGTAATCCCAGTTACTTGGGAGGCTAAGGCAGGAGAATTGCTTGAACCCGGGAGGTTCAACCCAGAGTTTGCAGTGAGCCAAGATCGTGTCACTGCACTCCAGCCTGGGCAACAAGAGTTAAACTCCATCTCAAAAAAAAAAAAAAATTAGAATATCATTATTTTGCAACCCTTAATGATTGCTAGACCCAGACACTGACCATCAATATCCACCAACATGAAAAAAGGAGAAAGAAAACCAGACATTATATATTCTCTTTTAGAAAAATAAAATACTGCTTTCAAAGTAGATTTTGGGAAAAATATATCTAGTATATGTAGATCCAACTATCAAATGCAGAAAAAAAGAAAGAAAGAAGCACATTTTAGCTTTGCGCAGTGGCAGTATCGTAGCCAATGAGGTTTATCCGAGGTGCGATTATTGCTAAATGAAAACTTTTAAAAAAGAAAGAAAGAAAGAAAGAAGCACATTTTAATAAATGCCTCAGGAATCCTATCAGCAAAATCCAGACTCTGAAACTTGACAGGACAAATGACCAGTTTCTTCAATAAATCAATGGGGATGAGTTGAAGGGGAAACTAAGGAGAGTTTAAAGTCATATCAACCAATCACGATGGGTGAATTTTATTTGGATTTTGACTCAAAGAAACTGCATAAGAAAATAAATCACTTTCGTGAGACAATTGGAAATTCAAGCTCTGAGTAAATATTTAGTGATATTCAAGTACTATCATTTTCATTTTTTTTAATAATATGTTATTGTGGTTGTGTTTATAACAGAAAATATCTTTTAAAAGTCCATTCCAAACTATTGATGAATAAAATGATATATATGCTATGCATATGATGTCTATATGACATATATTATATGCATGAAATGTCTAGGATTTGCTCCAGAATAATATAATGGAAGAGGCTGTAAGTGGGACAAATATAAGGTTGTCTGTAAATCGAAAATTATAAAAGTTGAGTGATGATACTTGGCAGTTTGTTGTATTATTTTGTCTATTTTTATACTGAAATCTTCATATGCAAATATTTATTTTAAAAAATATTTGACTAACTCCCCAAGAATGCTAAATAACATAAACACTCCTAGATCAGTGCTGTTATGATCTGGCCCTTACTCACTTCTTTAGCACCACCTGAGATCATTCTCTTTTCACCTATGTTTAAACTACATGAAACTACTTATAGTTTCCACAAAGCACTATGATTCCTCCTACTTCTAAATGTTTGTAAATTTTCCTTTTTCCAAAATGCCAAGTTCCGTTCTTCTTCTCCGGGTAAAATTCAGTCAGTCACATCGTGCATTGCCACCTGCATGCTGCAGGCTCCTGTTGTGGACTTGCCACCCACAGTGGAGTGATGAGTATCCACCATTTACTGCCTGTGCTGCCTCTCCAGCCTTCCCTACCCTTTTTTCTGCCCTTTGAGGCTGACCCATTTGGACTGCATCAGAGGCTCATGTATCTTCTGCTTGTGGTTAGACTTCTCCAGATAGAGTGACCAGCAGAAGATCTGGAGGTCAAGATGAAGAGGGAAGTCACTGTATTTTTGTCCCTGGCTTGCTCCCTGCCAGGTGAGCACAGGTTTGGTTGCTTCCTCTTTGTAAATATCACTCCTATCAGGTAACCCTTTCCAAGCAGTTCTCTTTCTGGTACTAGTGATTGCTTCTTTGCCTTTTTATCTTCAGCTCAAGAATTGGTTTCTCATAAACCTAGTACACTATTTGCAAAAAGCCCTCCATCCGACTCTCCAGTAATTACCCAGTTTCAGTATTACTCCTGTATAATGAGTGTAATATTCTAATTATTACAGTAAATATATGAGTTAGTATAATAAGAATTATACTAATCATACACTTGTTTAAGAAAAAAAAAAAAAAAAAAAAAAAAACACCAAAACCAGAAAGGGCTCTAAGAAGAACTAGGCATAGATTTAGCCTGAGAAGGCATAGAAGAAACAGTTGAAGAATATTCTAGAGAGAGAGCACATGTGCAATGGCTTGGTAGTACAAAAGAAGCAAGAGAGATTCAATGCTCTGCTTCACTTGTCAGCTAGTTGAGCTAGAAAGCAAAGATGAGAGAGCAGGAAAGGATAGAGAAACAGAAAGAACCTCAATTTTACAGGCCAAGTAAGGACAGAGATGTTGATCCTAAGAGCAATAGGGAAATATCAAATATTCCCCTTGGCCTTCCAGGCATAGGTAAGGGATCATCATCTTGCAAACAATCCCTGAGAGCCTTCTACCACACAGACAGGACTAGGAGGTTCTGGTGCATGATAACCATTCAATAAATGTTCACTAGATCAGTGAACAAAGAACAAGTAAACCATCTGTAGACAGTTTAGAGAGTTTTTTCCATCATATATGGGCATGATTTTGTCACCTACAAGAATTCTTCCTTGCATATACCCTTCCTGAACTTAATCCTATTTGTTCTTGACTTATGTCTTCACTTGCAATAAACATAAAAAGTGCTGGAGATAAGCAGCTATATGTGTGTTATAACATTGGAAAGTAAGTCAATCTCAGTCCAATCTTTTCTACCATGACAACTATTTTATTCTAGAGATGATTTAACAACGACCACCACAAAATCATGTGATGAAGATTCTTGCCATAAGCACAATAGATTTTTCTGTTAAACTTCACTAATTCAAGGTGGTTGAGGGAAAATTATTTGGAATTGACAAGATGAGTAAAAAAGAGACCTATTTTGCTTTGTTTAGAACAAGAAATACAACTTACTTTCTTTCATGCATAAGGTAGAGCACAAACCATATGCCAACCAAAGGTGACAAGCAGAAGCTTTGTTTTTATCTGCATTACAAATTCAGTATGGTCTGATTTACACACAAATAACTAAGCATAATTTTAACTGAAGGCATCATTTAATAATAAGTAGAAATGCATGGCTAAAACCTGCTTGAAAATATACTTACACTATAAATTTCCTTCCTTAATGCAAGCAAACAAAATTAAAATACAAGGTGATCTCAATAGTGTGGCAACTGAGTGTTCACTAGTATCACAATAATGGTGTCTTTGTATATTCAGATTTTTGTGATAATAGAGATGTCCATCTCATTCATAAGTAAGATGGATATCCACAAGTTGCTACAGTTCTACGTTTCCTTTTTACCTAAATACAAAAGTCCTTAGTGAACCAAAAAAGTATAAAATGCTATGGCTTCTGTGCCAATTCACCAATGCTGGGATGTTTCTATGGTGGAATTTTTTTTTTTTTTTTTTTTTTTTTTTTGAGACAGAGTTTTGCTCTTGTAGCCCAGGCTGAAGTGCAATGGCACAATTTCGGCCGCCTCCTGGGTTCGAGTGATTCTCCTGCATCAGCCTCCCTGGTAGCTGGAATTACAGGCATGTGCACCATGTCTGGCTAATTTTTGTATTTTTAGTAGAGGCGGAGTTTTGCCATGTTGGTCAGGCTGGTCTCAAACTCCTGACTTCAGGTGATCCATCCATCTTGGATTCCCAAAGTACTGGGATTATAGGCGTGAGCCACTGCACCCAGCCCAGTGTAATGTTTTTAATTGGCATGAAAACTTTTCATTCTGGTAGAAAATTAATCAGGAAAAATAAAAAGTGATACTCATTTATTCTTGAGGTTCAAACAAAGGTGCATCAGTTTCCTTAGTGACATAAATGATGAATTTTTCTGTTTTTTCCTAAGCAACTCTGTAATTCATAAAGTTTGTAATTTGACAAAGCAGGAGAAAAAGTTATACTAAAGTCCTGTGAACTGAATAGACTCTGTGACTACATGTAGTTCATCAATATATTTCAATATGTAAATTTCATTTTAATTATTTAATGTGTACACTTCATTTGAATTATGTGATGTATGTAGTCTGTGACTTATACATTACATCAAATACATTTCGTTTTAACAAAAGAGTTGTGTTGCTCACCAAAGAGGCCATGGTAAATCCAATGACTTCAATATAGCCATCATCATGACGCTGAGGTTCGAAATCGTGGTGATCTCCTGGGTTTCCCCAGGGCATTGTGCCAGCACAATATCTGCAAGAGAAGATTAGAGACAGAAGTAAGTATGTCTCATCCTTCTCACGACTATCATGAGGAATTAGTCTGAAGTTAGACCTAATGTTTATTAAACATAAAAACAGCTTTCCATTCTTGGTACACATCTTCCAATGGAAAAGAAAATGCACTTCTTATCATCTACAAAATACCAAGCTATTAAAGTGGGCCATATTTTTGCAACAAAAGTATCCTGTGTTATCCAACTTTCTCCTCATTCATTATTTATAATATTTCTTACCATGATTCATGTATGTCTGTTTTCTATGATACATCATGAATTGTCTATAGGTGGTTTCAGAATTTGGTCTTAAAGGAAGACATATGCATGCCAGTAGAAAATAGACAGAGAAATGAAGTGGGAAGCAGTTACCATTAATACATAAGCAAAATAAGAAGTACTCACAGGGGCCAGGCACGGTGGCTCACGCCTGTAATCCCAGCACTTTGTGAGGCTGAGACAGGCAGATCATGAGATCAGGAGTTTGAGACCAGCCTGGCCAATATAATGACACCCTGTCTCTACTAAAACTACAATAATTAGCCAGGCATGATGGCACACGCCTATAGTCCCAGCAATTCAGGAGGCTGAGGCAGCAGAATCACTTGGAACCAGGAGGCAGAGGTTGTGGTGAGCCAAGATTGTACCCCTGCTCTCCAGCATGGGCAACAGAGCAAGACTCTGTCTCAGGAAAAAAAAAAAAAAAAAAGAAGTACTCACAAAACAGAATGGAGAAGGGATGAAATACAGATAAGAGATTAGAAAGTGAAGGGGAAACTGAAGAAATTGGAGAAATAAAGGAAGGAGAATACAGATGGGAAAGAGGGAGGAGCAAGAAAAGAGAGGGGGAAGGACAAGATAAATAAAAAGGCAAAGAAATGAACAATGCTTTCTGAAAATCAAGGCCTTCTACTTCAATCAAGCTGCAAATATTTCTGGAATAAAATTGTAACTGACTATACTGAGCTCTTCCAAGAATAATCAGGAGACTATGATATGTCTTCCTAGCCACAGATTTACATACAACTCTTATTTCAATTAAATTCAGTCTAAATACAATGTATTTGCAAATTTTGTGTCTGACTTGTTTGGCAGGCAAATAAATGGTGATAGATCCATCCCTTCCAAAATCTTGGCTTCAAGGCCCAGAACATAATTTATGACACTGAAATAATATGTTTATTTTGAGTCCAGTTATCTTAAATATCCCTTTCTCCTGAGGTGCGTAATAGCACCAATGGGAATTGACATCCTGGCTAGAAAATAGTATTCTAACTGACTCAATTTTTTCAAAGCAATCATCTGGCAACAATTTTGAATGAATTCCAACTCAAATCAGACTGGATGGTTTTTTAACAGTTTTTAGGAAACTGAGAACAAAAGTAATTTTTCAATTCTCTCATTCTTAGAGGGGGAGTAGGGGAAGAACAGTAATTTAGAAATAAATTAAGATGTTCCAGGCAAGAGGGTTGCCTGGGTTTCTTAATGATGGATAAGTACAGACAATGCATGTCACGTGACACACAAACCCACCTACCACAAAGAACACTAAATCAACCAAATCGGAGAATGAATTATCAAACCGAGAAGTCTTTAATAACCCATTTAGATAACTGATCTTCATTGTTTACAGCTAAAACTTTTCTGTTATGAAACCAGATAACCTCAAGTCAGAGTTCACATCAAACCAAGGAAACAATATAAACAGAGCTTACCTGGGTATATTTAAAAATACTATACACTGGAACTTCAGTTCCTGAATCTTTGGGGTGAGATCTGTTCCATCACACTGAAACAATGAAAGCAGAAAAAAGGGTTTGAAGTAGTCACAAGTCTAAAAAATTATCAAAGATAACTAGTTTGACAACAGTAGACACCATGGTCTCTTTCTCCTTGCTCTATCTCTGCTCAAGTGAATGCCAGTCACAATGATTAAAAACATATTCTGGTTATAGTTTTACTAGAACCAGAGTACAAAGCTTTATTTTGTTTGCACTGAATATAAGAATAAACCCTCCATTTGACTAAAATGATTTTTTCTCTGGTCTCACCATCAAAAGAAATACTATCATTCTTAACACTGGATGATTATTAGTTGTCTAGGCTGATGGTGTAAATGTTAAAAGATTTATGAACACTAAATAGAATGAAAAGAGAAACCTCAAGTTAAAGCAGTAGTATTCGCCACCGTCACTATCTGATTCAAACAAGTCACAAATATGATTGATTTTTTTTTTGAGACGGTTTTTCATCGTTAAAATGTTAATTATTTTGGAGACAGGTTTTTTTTGTTTGTTTGTTTGTTTGTTTGTTTTTTTGAGACGGAGTTTCACTCTTGTTACCCAGGCTGGAGTGCAATGGCGCGATCTCGACTCATGGCAACCTCCACCTCCTGGGTTCAAGCAATTCTTCTGCCTCAGCCTCCTGAGTAGCTGGGACTACAGGCGTGCGCCACCATGCCCAGCTAATTTTTGTATTTTTAGTAGAGACGGGGTTTCACCATGTTGACCAGGATGGTCTCGATCTCTTGACCTCGTGGTCCACCCACCTCGGCCTCCCAAAGTGCTGGGATTATAGGCATGAGCTACCACGCCTGGCCTGAAGACTTTTTTTAAAAAAGTATATGTACCACAAACTTTTGAAAAGATATCTATTATAAACTACTATTATCATCATTTGTGATTTGTTCTTACAAATTTAATCTTGTACAGACTTTGGACTTCTAAGATTCACTGCCTTCCTGGAGTTTAGACATGGCCCTGGGAATCACGGGTCTCAGGCCAGTTTGGCCCCAACAATACTTGTCCGTGGCTTCCCTGATCAGGTAGCGCTTCTGCAAGGTTATCATCATTTGATAAATCAAGGAAAAGTCTTTCATGTTCCTTTCTAATTTCCCACTGGTGACAAAAGTCAAAAGAGAGTAACTCTCATCATAACCAAAGACTTTTTCGAACATCAAAGGTATAAAGCCTGCTCTCATATTTGCTTTCCTCATACTCTTATCACAGAATTTCGCCATTTCTTTCTCATTTGGAGAGAGGAGCAAAGCATTCCCAAGCTCCCTGCAAATTTTGAAAGAGTTCTTTAGGATCAGTTTCAATCTAAACATAATCGTTTTGCCAGCGGTCAAGTTGTCTCAAGCACCTGCATTTTTTTTCCCAGTTGATTTCAATACAGCCAAATTTTCATCAGTATTCTCAAAGAATTGGTTCCAATAAATCTTACAATTTTAAACAAACTATTTTCAAATAAAACTTTAGTTAGTAATCAAATTCTAGACATTAAAGATGGTTTTCCAGTACTCTCAACTACTAAGCGAACGTAACACCTTCCAACTTAAGAACTTGAAATGAGTTTATAAATGACTATGCCAATTAATAAAAAAAAGTATACATTGTAAATGTCAAAGTTGCATGTTGTAAGCAACTAAAACTTCCAAAACCTAGGATGTGATACATTAATAGTATACAAAGCATTATGGTTGCATTGCAGAAAGATTATAATAAATATTATTGTATTTAGAACATATTTCATTTTTAAATTTTCTACTTTTTCTTCCTGGGAAACATGTTAGTGATTCTGGGAACTCATCAAATCATATGAAAATGCGTACCTTACAACATATACTGCTTTTCAGAGGTTTTTTTTTTTTTGTATATACTATTGCAATAAATTGTATAATTCCTTTAGAATGGCAGTTTTCAACTTTTCCCAACTTTACATACAAAGGCACATATTTTCATGCAAAATATGTTCCTTTGAATAAGCTCATATACTGATAAATAACAAGAAGAAAATATGGAAAGTGGAACAAATAATGCTATATGTAGGTTTTTACTGTCGTTTTGTATTTTCTCAGTTTAGTATTCAAATACATATTTTATCTCTATGAGACATTATTAGCTATTACATTAGAAAGACTTCACCCTGTGACAAAGACAGTCTGTTGTTGTGCATACATCCAATAATTCTCACTAACCTTCCAACCTTTTCATCTCACACTCAAGAAAACATAGAATGATGTCATTGCAAAAATATCCTTGTGTCCCTCTATGTCACAGCACAATGGTCAAAAACCATTGCCTCAAAGACATGTCTTGTTATGCTTATTTGGCAGATGAAGAAAGCAAACTCCTCTGAAAGGTTAAATAATTTCCCCAAAGTCAAATACCTAGCAAAGGAAGACCTAGCTAAATCCCAAGTGTTCACACCTAGTTTCTAATGACTTTTTTCCTCCTCCTAAGAGAAGATATAACTTACATAAATATTCCACCTTTAAATATTTCATATATAGACTGATATCAAATCTTTTCTAGTTATTTGCTGCCATTTTAGCCTCTCTGCAAGCATCTTTCAGACTCTACTATTAAGTCACCCATGCATGAGACATGTATCATCAAGGCTACTGCCAGATACGAGGGAGAAAACTCTCTAGCAGTTGAGTTTGAGATCAATCCGGTGACTGGAATGGTGCACTGCTATTCCATATGGCCACTGGCCAGCGCTCACTGGGTCTCCTGGCAGGTATTGTGGATGTGACTGTAAATGTAAAATATACTCGAAAATGTGTTTAATTGTGGCTAGGCTGCAGGCATCTGAAGAAATAGAGGAAGTTTAATGTAAGGTTGCTGCTACTTAAATTTAATAGCCACAATTTTATCGAAATAATAATCCTCATAGTTCAACGGACCCCATGTGTTCTTGCATCTAGCTTTAAGAAGGCAATACTTCAGTTTCAAGAGTCTCCACCACTAAAAGATATTTACTTTTTGTTTTTATTGTATGAGAACTTAAGTATCTGAAAGGGATGCCAAGGGTGGTTAATAGCAGTGGTAAAGGGCTTTGTCTCTTGTTTCAACTGATTTAGGAGATTCACATCTTATACATGCTTTACTGGTGATTTCCCATTTTATTTTTATATTTTCATGGTCCTTATATTTCTTTATATTCTCATTAGCTTAAGATCATATATTTTTCTCTATTTCCATGTATATATTTTGTTCCATTCTCACTTGTCAAAATTATTATTATTATTTTAGACAGAGTCTCTCTCTGTTCCCCAAGATGGAATACAGTGGCACAATCTTGGCTCACTGCAACCTCTGCCTCCCGAGTTTAATTACCCTGCCTCAGCCTCCTGAGTAGCTGGGACTACAAGCGCATGCTGCCATATCTGCGAATTTTTTGCATTTTAGTAGAGACAGGGTTTCACCGTGTTGCCCAAGCTGATCTCAAACTCCCGAGCCCAGGCAATCCACCCTCCTCTGCCTCCTAAAGTGCTGGGATTATAGCCATAAGCCACCGCACCCGGCCCATCAAAATTATTCTTATTCTTTACTTATGCCATGATAAACTCAAGCATTGCTATATTCTCACCCCTTCTTCTCCATTCATATATGTTTTTCCTCTTCTTTCTCATTCTGTCATTTACTTATACAGCTATGTGCAACAAAGCCATGTGTGCTCCTTCTTTAACTTGGTTACTATAAGGAAACATTTAATGTCTTTCTTAATACCTGATTTTATTCTATTTTTGAATGTGTCACCTACAGAAAGATAAATTTCTCTCTCCCTTGCCCCCAAGCATTATATTTCCAAAACCTGATATAGATACCCAGGAAGAAACAGCACACAGAAAAATAATTCAACTAGTGGTGAGGAACCTTGACCAGGTGAAAGAGTGAGTCTCCATAAAACAATGAAATCAACACTTTGCTCTAACACAGAGACTCCTCAGACTATCCTGGAATAAAGATACTTGTTTGGAGAGTACTGATTTATTCTTCAAGATACAGCTAACATCATTTTTTTGATAAAGGTCTTCCTGACCCCACCGTAGCCAGTTATCACTTCTGCCTTTGTGCCACAACCATATTGTATACACAGTTGAATATTTATTTTATTGTTCTGAAGTGACTTATGTGACCTTCTTTACAACTGAACTGTGAGTTTCTTCAGAAGTAAAACTAGTCTTTTCATTTCTTTTCATCCTCAGCAACTAAGACAGTACCTGACATGTAATAAGTGTAGGTCGAATGCACTACACAAAATGATCTCTAAAGTTCCGTATAGTCCAGTGATTATGTATACGAAGTATTTCGGAGTTTACTTTTTGTGGCATTCATATTCATATTCAAATGAAATAAGTCAGCGTATTCAATACTTACGACAACTTTAACATGTTTGGATAGATCTCTAGAACTTCTCTGTAGGAAGTCAGAAAAAGCTGCCTATACCACAGGGAAATAAAGAAGAAGAAATTCGTAATTACGCGGTATACCAAATCCCTGCTTCCATATTCTAGATTCCAATGATTCCAAAGTATGCAAAAATTCTAAACCAGTTCTTTTTCTGCAGAATCCAAAGTAAAGCAGGGCAGTAGTTGTCAAATTGAAAATTTTCTCTTTGTTTCCAAGCTATAATTCACAGTTCCACTACAAAATTTAAGAGCACAGGATGAAGGTGAAAAAGTAGGCAATTCTGAGGGTCATTTGAAGGTTTATTTTGACTACCTTTTCTGACCAATCTACTTGTCCATTAAGTCCTGATACAGTCTTTCCACTAAGGTTTGCTTATTTGCTTTGACTTTCATATGGCATGACTTCCATAAACTATATATGCAGCTTCCAAGTGCCTTTTATTTAAACTTCCCCATCCAGTGGCATAAATTAAAACTGTACTTTACTGATATTTTGGATGGCATTTACTTCTATGATTGTGCCTGGGAAACAAAAGAAGGAAAAAGAAGGCACCACCTTTAATCTCATGTATGCTTCCATGAAAAACATAGCATGTTCTGCTCATTTCTTATCCAAATGTCAAAGTGCACTCCCTGGTGAAAACTACATTCTTAGCTAAGATTCTTCATACATCCTCAGTCTGCACAATTCCCCCATTTCTTACATTGGCTTTGATGTTTGTTTTTCACATCACTCTTTAAATAGCATCCTCTCTTGTGCAACATGAAGCCTCAGGGCTTGCTTAAAAGCTCAAGATGAGGAACACCAACTCTCTTTCTGACAACTAACTTAAGAAATACACCTCATTTTCATTCTTAAGCCCAGACATTAAACAGTAACCATATATAGACACATATAAATGAGATGTATATGTTAGTATTTCTAATGTAGTTTACAACTTTATTACTCACAATGAATTAGCACTAAGTAATATGTAGTGATTATAAAATAAAACGTATACCTACCCCTGCATAGAACATTTTATTTCGAAAACGACTGTTGAATTTCTCTGGATTTGCTTCTGTGAAAGAGGAAAGGTAGTTTTGTTATGGAAACCTCATTAAAGGTAGTGACTTAGATTAGCACTTCTATTTCCTCCCCAACTCCCTCCTATCCTACAGATCCAGTCGATGCCATGGTTTGGTTATTATCTTGCCCCCAGTTCCAGGCCAGTTAGTACAGTGGCCCCGTGCTACAGGGACAGTAAGCCCAGACTATAAATGCCTAGCTCCAAACTAGCATCATTGACATTAACTGGGAGCTTGTTAGAAATTCAAATAATTAGGCCCTAGCCAGACCTACTGAATCAGAACCACTCAGTGTGTAGTCTACACATCTGTGGAGGGGCTCAACTAGCTCTCCAGGTGATTCTCAAGCACATTAAGATTGAGGCACGCAGCCGGGTGTGGTGGCTCACACCTGTTATCCCAGCACTTTGGGAGGCCGAGATGGGCAGATCATGAGGTCAAGAGATCAAGACCATCCTGGCCAACATGGTGAAACCCCATCTCTATTAAAAATACAAAAATTAGCTGGGTGTGGTGGTGCGCACCTGTAGTCCCCGCTACTTAGGAGGCTGAGGCAAGAGAATCACTTGAACCCGGGAGGCAGAGGTTGCAGTGAACTGAGATCATACCACTGCACTCCAGCCTGACGACAGAGCAAGACTCTGTCTCAAACAAAACAAAAGACTGAAGCACTCTGGGTGCTCTGTAAAAACTGGAGGGTTTGCAGGATATTGGGCTGGGATAACAGGAAAATGAGGAGGGAAGTGGAGAAGTGATTATTTGACTTTCAGAGGGCATGACTTCCATAAACTAGGTATGCAGCTTCCAAATGTAATTAAACATGTTTTTGAGTTTGATTTGAGTTTGGAATAAAGTAGATATAAAAAATGGAATTAATGTCAGTTTAATTATTCCTTCTAAAAGAAATACAATATATTAGTTATGCTGAGAACTGTCCATTTGATGGGCTATATTTATATCTGTGCTAAAAATTCTTTCCACAGTTAAATTTTTAAAAATTCTTCTTTAATGAGATTTGTAGTATTTGCCCATTTTATGTAGATGTATTGGCATAACTCTCAACCTAAAAGTATTATATTTTCTTGGCTAATACCTCATAGATTCTACTATCCAAGCTTATGTTTTCATAATGGCTTTCACGAGCCTTTGCATTAGCCTCCAGGTATTTTATGGCAAATGATACATGAAGCCGCAAACAGTGCTTGTGGTGGAAAACAGTTTAATGTCTCGCTGTGAGTTTTCTTGGTTTGAGAACAGCTGCCCACTATCTACTGAGAAAATAAGTAAGCTTGCCACAATTAAAATTGTGGTGATGCTTATCCTGTTTTTCCTTCTACAGCTTAAGATTTCTTGACTAACTAGGTATAAATATGGGAAAAATAGAAATGAACAGAAACAGTAAAAAAAAAAAAAATAAAAAAAAAAAAAAAAAAAAAAACCTAGCCGCTTAATTACATATTTCATAGAGAAACATTTTTCAATTTAATGTAAAAAAAGCAGATTAACAGATACTGAAAAGTCCATACCTCTTGTCAAAGTGTATCAACAAAATCTGGTTTCAATATCTTATATTTATTTTTTTACCATCTCTATCTCACCTACATTATTATTACATCTATTATTACATCTATTATTCTTAATCAACATAGTTTTTCCCTTATCAGCCCTTCAGTGGCTGATTTTCCTCAAAGGCTCTGATTTAAGTGCAGGGAAAATGTTTACAATTCCATTTCAAACTGCATCAAAACACAATAAGCCTTGGCAAAAAACTATACAAAGATTAGTGCTTGACATCGTTTAAACAATTGTTTTATAGTCACCCACATATAAATGTACATGTTCATACACACAACAATTTGCTTATTCTACTCTAAAACAGTCCTACAGCTTAAAATAAAAGAAAAAAAATCACTTTCCCCAAAAGACTTTTCTTCTAAGCCTGGTCTTTCCATGTAAGGGTCTCTTCCAGCTCCCTTCTCACTCTGATGCATAGAAACTTCATCATAGTACAAGGAAGTGACTCATTAGAAAAACTTCTGGATTCGTTAGACTAAATATGAGCCTCACTTGAATGAGCTCATTGTTGGCCACGTACTCATTTAGACCTCTTTTCATGCCTATTTATGGAAATTTATGTATTAGTGATAACTGCGTTTCTTTACAAGTATTATTAAGAAGTTTTGTATGAGACAAAAAAAAGGGGTAAGAAATGAAGTTTAAAATCCCCCATTTACTTTCCAAATTAACTCTCCTTCAATATAGGAAGGATAACGGATCATAAATGGTGGTCCTAAGGTAGGTCCCTCTGAATACCTAATACCCAAGAACTGCCTAAGGCAGGGAGGGTGACAGTGGTAGTGTTTCTGACTCAGGGTATTTCAGGTCCTGATAGCAATTATCCTTTCTGGCTAATCCAAGAGGAATAGCAAACTATATGGCTTTCTCTTCAAACACTATCGTTCTTGCTTGGCAAAGAACTTGACCTTTACAGAGCCTGTCCTCTCAAAACCTTGTGAAACCAGAAAGGTCAAAGTCTACTAACATTGCTGAATCCAGTAAGGAACTTTAAAGATTTGTTCTTTGCTTGTATTTTATATCCTAGTGGTTTTTAATCCTGTAGCACCACTCTTGACTTCCAGCTCATAAGTGCATTATCAGAATCTTCACATGTTATTACCAGAATCTAAAAATGTGAATTCTAGCTTTTAGTACTCTGTTATTTCAAATGCTATGATTGAAAGCCACTTTCTTTCTTCCATAACCTGGAGGAAAAAATGTAAAATACTTCCTCATTTATGACTTTCATCTCACAAGTCTCTTACTAATCTACATCCTAGCATAGTTTTGGTTATATATAAATATATTCAGAAGGAACTGGGTACAGATATAGATACAGGCATAGACATAGATATATAGTATAGCTATATTAATAAGAAGAGAGTTGAGAGAGAGAGAGAAAGACAGAAAGAGAGATCAATTGGGAGTACAAAACATAAGTCAAAACCCTAAACTTTCTCAGTTCTAAATTGCATGGGAAAATGTTGATGAAATGTTTAATAGTATATTATTATTTCATCTTCTCTTTCAAAAATTGTTTTGTTCCCCTAATCTTAACTCCATCTCTTTTAGTATCTGAAATCACAACATGGTCTCATTCACACCTCTGTATCATCCAGTGGGAATCCCTAGTACCTTCCTAATTAATCCCATCACCATTACATCCTATTCTTTGAACCTAAACTACCTATAGCTCTTCTATTGTTCTAAGATGCCTGCTCTTTCTTTTATGCACACAGAGAGGACTTTTTGTTTTTGCTACCATATTTCAATGGCTCTGACTATGTAGTGTTACACTTTAATCATGTTTTGTGAAGCTAAAGAGTACCTTAGTGACTTCAGTAATGGTCTCTATCACTTCTTAGTAGTTTACTCACTTCAGAATTTTCAGTAGAACTTAAAGAATCCCAAGACCTGGAACACACATCTAGTCCTGTCCTTTACTATCTTTGAGACCCTGGACAACTAGGTCTCAGGGTCCCATTTGTAAGAAGTTCCTGTCCTGTCTAGCTCCCAGAGTCAACCTGAAGGTTAAAGTGAAACAACACTGAAGCCCACTGTAAACACATAAGTGATATACAAACAAAAGGGAACAAGCAAAACACCTGCTAGAAACTTCCTCCCTGGGAGATGGAAATGGGACGTTGTCCTCACCTCTGGATTCATGGAACTCCAGTGTGACGTGAGCATCAAATCCAAGGCTGAAGTAGTTATTGAAAACATTCAGAGGGAGCTGCAATGATAAACAAAGATAGAAGCAAAACTGTGTGTGGCCAGGCAGAAAGAGAAGAATAAAACCCAAAGCCAGACCCTTAGCTCTGAAGAAGTCCCTAGGAGACAGATCAGCCATGACTTCAAGTAGAGGGTGCTTATGTAGAGAGAACAGGAAATTATTGGATTAATCATTAGTGAAAGCTAAAATCAAGTAATTTTCTCAAGAATTATAAACAGGATAAGAAATAAGAGCTATAAACACAAATTATTAAATAAGGACCATTCTCATAGATGCTGTAGTAATAGGAATTTGTTAAGCTGAGGGATATATGTTTGCAATAGTTACAAAGAATAGTTCACTAAGCAAACTTAGAAAGTAAATTCAATTGTAAGGATAATGTCTAATGAACTTAGTCAGTGGATGCATATTTTTCCAAGAATTTATATTCAACAAACCAATATTGTAATGTAAAATGAATATTTAACTTGTTTCCCTATTTTCCCTCTCTATGCACACATACACTGACTTTTTTTTTTTTTAATTACAAAAGTCATATAAAAAAATAGGGCAATGGGACCCAGTTGGTTATTGCTGGCCTAGTGGAGAAAAACAACAACCAAAATACATATTAGTATTATTCAAGTTCTCATTTCATCTATAAACCCTTACGTCTTTACTATGACCATTCTGAAAACACAGACACACAGATGCACATGTAAGCTTTAATTTTTTTCTTCCTAGAGTCCTTTGGGTCTCTGGCTGTTACCGCTGCAAGCTGAGTGAAAAGAACTCTGCAGCCTCAAATCCGGCATTAAAACTGCAAAACTAATGTGATTTTAAGCTTCAGTTCAATGTTAGAACAATTAGGAAAGCATGTGGAAAATGTGAGAATGGGAATGGCTGGTTCTTCCCCTTTTCCTTCTGCAACTCAAGTGTCAGGTAAATGTTAAAGTAAATAAAGACAGGAAATGTTTGCAGCTAATTATCCGGTTTGTGTCCCAAATTGAACTGTACCTGTCTTCTCTGAAAGATAAGTGTTTTAACCCTCAAGATTTTACCAGTAAGTTTTTTACAGTGTTTCATATGCCCCTTGATCAGCAAGATTTTCTGTTTCACTAGAGGGAGAACTTTCTTTCATTGAGGGAAAAAAAAAATGAAAAAATGAGATAAGAGAGAGAGCAAGAGAGATATAAACGCAGAAAAAAGAAAATTGGATTGGCGTGGTCTCTGAGGGAAGTAAGGAATGGCCCCACCTGGAAGCTATGAATTCAAAGCCTATATAATGATTCAGAGTCCAAGTGAGCCCTTAGAAATGGTCTCAACTAAATGAAGAACAGGAAGAGAAACTAAACACATAGAACAATGCCAAAATCATGTCTTACTCTTCAGCCTTCTTATTTGAGACTATCCAGTTCCTGCACTTAAACAAAATCCCATCTCTTAGTAATGACAGCATGGGTTGGTGATCCTGCCAAAAGCAGAGACGTGTTCATCTCCTCTACCATTTATGTTCTTTTGGCCACAATTCTAACTCATGTCTTAACATCTACTGATCGCTAAGAAGAACATCTGGTCATCATCACCTAAATCATATCCCAAAGTAGTCTGTTTTTAAGTTATTTATATTTTCCAGGAAAACTTGCCCCGGTTTCCCATACATCTCTTTAAAAATCCATTTTAAAAATCCCATTAATTATATGGATTTGTGTTACCTGGCTACGCCCAGAAGTCTTTCCATTTCTTAAGCTGTTGGGAAGAGAATTAAATATGGATTTCTATTGCACATCTAACCATTCCATGCTCAGTAGGAAAAGGAATTTAAAATATCCACATAGTACTCTTCTTTGTACTTTAGCTGTTTTCTATCCAATTTCTATAAGTCAAATCCATTATAAAAAAGTATCACATCTAAAGACGATACTTGTTGTTTAAACAACATTGTGACATTTAACTTGAATTCAGCTGAGCAATCATGATATCTACTGTAAATCTTATTAACTTCAGGGTCATAGTTTAGGTGAAGAAATGATAAAGATTGAGTAAAACATGTTTTAATCTGATTTAGCCAAGTAAGAAACTTGAACATCTATTAAACTATAATATATATAATTAAATTGCTCAGGATCATGATGCTGATAAATAAATGGGTGTCGGTTTGATCTAAATCTAAAATGATATGGGGTTTAATCTATTATATGCTTGAAACATCCATGAAATCTTAGCTTCAATAAATGGCATGGTTCACTACCATAGGGATACTGTTTGAAGTACAGATGCCTGGTCCTTAAATTGCATTTATGTAATCAGAATCTCTGAGGACTGGGCCTTGCAATCTGCACTTTAACAAACACACCTGGAGATTCTTACGCATGCAGAGTTTGAAAATGCAATCACAGAAAGAAGGTGGAAAGTAATAGAAGGGAAGTGACTACTCAGCAGCCTACCAAATTTATCTGAAATTGAGGCCATAACTTAGAACCAAAGGATCAACTGAAGATTGACAGTACTAATTACAACTATTAATATATCATGCTTTGCTTTTCAGCTGAAATAAAAGCTCAGTCACTGAAAGAAAACACGAAGTCTGGACATAAAGATGGCAACGATAAACAATGGGGACCACTAGAGTGGGAAGGGAAGGACAGGGGCAAGGATTGAAAACCTTTGGTTACTATGCTCACTATCTGGGTGATGGGATCAGTCATATCCCAAACCTCAGAATCATGTAATATATCCATGAAACAAACTTGCACATGCGCAGCTTCAATCTAAAATAAAAGTAAAAATTATTTTTTAAATAACATGAAGTCAAACACATTCATTTAGGTATCTTCAAGTCCCACCCAAATGGTAAAATTGGCATAGTTAATACCTCCTAAACATAAGATATATTTTATATCCGGCTAGAAATCTCAGGAGGTTCTATTTCTACTGAAAGAACAACTGCCCAATGCTTCCAAATATACATATTTTTTCATCTTATCACAGGTTATTTGCTATTAACACAAATGATTAAAACTGAATACATGCCTTTCTAGTGTAGAAGTTGAAGACAGAGAAGAGTTCCCTGAGCTCTGGAAGCAGGTATGAAATCTAGATCTTTAGAGGTCCATGGGGCAGAATCGTCAGGTGGTATTACCACCACCTAATGGTTGATGGCACTAGTAGACATCAACTCAAACACTATCACATTATCTCATAGGAATTCATCAGCACATGACTCTCCAGCCAGGAATTTATTTCCTGTAACTCAGGCAGATGCTCCAGGGTTCCTTCTTGCAGAACAAAAAACTCTCTAACCTTACATACGCCATCTTCAAGTTCTTCTGGAGGCAAGTCAGGATTTCTTTCCACGTGGAGGTTCCAGCGATCTAGCTGTACAATTGTCCCGTCTTCCACTTGGCATAAGATCTTGGAAACAGGTTCATCAGTGTAGCCCTGAGGAATCAGAGAACATATTCATTGCCGTCTGAAGAGGAGGACAGTAAAGCCAATGCTATTTTATGCAAGGAAGTGCCCTGCTGCTATATTCTTTTAATTTGTAATTAGCAAGGCTTGGAGAGCAAATTATTTACCTTGAGGTACTTAGAATTTGAGACAATACTGTGAGTAAGGTACATAGAAACACTAGCTCTGGCTGATTTGAGCTGAGGAATATTTTTTGTCAGCAGTAAGAACCAATAGTCATGGGTACACATTAAGGGCCATAAGGGAGGCTGGATGGCTGCTTTTATCAGAGTGAAAAATAGGACTCCCCACTACTCTCACCAGAGGAGCCTGGAGGAAACACAGAACAAATGTGTTTGGAGAGGCAGGGAAAGAATCAAGGAGGGATGGGATTGACAGTGCTGTTCTATTAACATTCCCTCGCAATCACCTCTCCCTGACCTCCTTAGAGGACACCATTCTTCCCATGACCTAAGGCAAGACTTGCTGAGGAATGGCCCTGTTAGGGAGCTACTTATTCCTCGAGGATCCATTACTGACAGCATGATAGACTGTCCTCAATAGGATACTGAAGGCACTGATTTGGATGGTAGAAGTTAACACTGATAATAACCTTAGTTGTCCCATGTAAATATATTTTTTATTTCTACACTGCCTACTTTAAAAAAAAAAAGACCTGTGGAATGTTAATTTGTCCAAGGGTCAACTAATATCTGCTAAACATCTGAATATAATTTTCACAGAGTCAATCCCAGATAATGCTCTCATATGAGCAGATAAAAAGTGGGTGGGGCTGTATATGTGTATGTATATTACACAATGCATCTATATATATTGTGCCTCCTTATTATCTTAGTACTATAAAATACATAAGTAAATAAATGGCTGGTTAGTGACAACAGAACAATTTCCCCCAAGCTTGCCTGAAGCTGTCTTCATTGTGGAAAGGGCAGATAAGTATGTATACAGCCAAAGTGATACTAATTAAAAAAAAAAAAAGTTATAACTGTCCCAAATGAGGCATCTAAAGTTGAGCCAGATTTGCTATCCTAGCTGGGGCTGAGAGTCTGGATTAACGGAAGTCTGTATGATCCTTTCACATGCAGACTTAAGGCCAAACTCACCCACTGTCTTTTGGTGGATACCTCAAAAAGCTTCAAGCCTGTGTACTAATCACTCTATTTGTCTCACACTAAGCTTTCTTTTCCATTCTAGCTGATTATAAGTTCAAACTAAAGAAGCCACCAGATCAAATAGGGGTTCAAGGACACTTTGATTCTCAGCTCTAACTTATCCTTGGACAGCAGCAGCAGTACACCCATTTCCATTAGAACATCGGTGGATATGAAATTCGGTTTGTTGCTGGATGATATGCGCAGCCCCTGAGAACAGTTCTTACCCCTCCCCAGTTGAGAGTTCGAGCCAGGTCATTCCCGGTCCCCAGAGGAAGGACCCCCACAGGAGGCTGAGGGCTCAGCTGTAGTTCATCCAGGATGGAAAGGATCCAGCCAACCTACAGGCATATCGGGGGCCAGAAGAGATATAAGAAAGATAAATAAGTTACAAAGAAAACAATTGGAGAAACAGAGGCTTTCAAGAACTAAACAGAATGGTTTTATTTTTCTTTAAAACATATATGTTTTAATTCAGTCAGTAGGGAACAGAAAGACCACTTATCAAAGGCAGTTTCAAAATAAAGGAAAAAGAACCATTTTGCACATGCTCTACCATACAAGTAAAACAAAACCCATTCATTTGTGTGTTTAACTAGAAACACACTTGTAAATTTCTTAGAGTTTAAGGCTTTGGTAGTATGACAGGGCACAGGAGGGAATATAAGACTCAGAATCAGACTGAATTTCAGTTCTGACTCACACTGGCTGCATAACCTTGATTAAATTATTTGACCTCACTGAGACTCATTTACTTGATTTTTCAAAGGGGGGATAATAATACGTACCTCACATGATTGTTTACTAATTAAACTAAAATGTACATAAAGCACTTAACACGGTACATGGCCCATGTAAGTACTTATTAAATGGTTGCTCTCTATAGTATCATCTTGGAAATTCATAGTGCTTTCCTAAATATCCCTCTATTTTCCTTAATGAAACATTAAGAAAACATAATTATAGACAGACTCAGTTCCCATGATAAGTTTAGGCAGGAAATTGATACTTACATACTAGAGTCTTATTCCTGTTTAATCTTTTTCTAAGATAAATAATACTTTGGGTTTAGTCTTATAGCTAATTAGAAAAATTGACCAAAAGTTGGAAATGGCAAAAAGAAATCTGAATGTCCTTATAATGTCATACTCAAATAGTGTTTCACAGGCGTATCTAAGGATTTTTAAACTGTAGGTTAACATAGATTTCTGTCCTGTAGAGAGACTAATGTCAAGAAGAAATTATTGCTTTAAAGGTTATAGTTTTTATTCTCTCATAGGACATTATCACTTTTGTCTCAAATTTAGAAAAATTATTTTGATATGAAGTACGTAAATCTTTTCCTCTAGTTCTGATAAATCAGCTTTACTATCTTGCAGGTTCCCTCATTAAAGAGCTAAGCAAATTTTTTGACACGTATTCATTCTATATTTGTATGAGTCATGCTTCTTGAAAACACTACAGCATTCATTAATTGAAGACTACTTCATGTAAAACCCAGAACTAAGCCACTGAAATAAAGAGATAAATGAGCTAGGCTATGACAGATAAGGCAGAAAAGTTGCTCTCAGAGTTCACAGTAACACAAAGACGGACATACTGATGCCTTGTTATGCGCCATGCCTGAGGAAAGTCCTTTAATGAATTATTAAACTTTAAAATATTATCTGTAAGATAGATATTAATGTAATTTTCATTTCCATCTTATAGCTAAGGAAACAGAGAATTGGAAGGGTAAGTGATCTCATTAGTATCACATGGCTGACACGGTAGAGATGGCATTCCAAAAATAGGAGCACCTAACCCCAGTGGCCAACCCCTTAACTGCTGAGTTGTAGGGAGCCTTTACATAAAGAACTCAGCCCCCTGCTGGATATGGCCAGACCCTCCTGGAAGCAGTGGCATGTGATTTTTGGAATCTGTGGAGATGAGGAAACCTTAAATACTGCTTAATCGAATTCAGTGAGCTTGCAAATTGATAAACTGAGGTGCAAAAAAATCATGTAATTTTCTCAAGACTAAATGATTGGAAGTGTCAGAGTCAAGGCAATGTTGGTTCTTCTGACTTCCATCTAAAATTCTTTCTCCTCCACAAAGATGACTTTCCAGGATGTAAAACTTGCTTGTCTACCAATTACGTCTAACATTGTGTTTACCTTCTAAAAAGGCACATCACACAGTTCACCCAACATGATAACTAAAAACCCAGACTTATAAATGTCAAAAATCTGTCCATTTCCCTAACCTGGGGAACTTACTCCTAGATGGAGCCTTAGATTCTAACCCAGAGCTTCTTTAGCCTCTTCTTTTATGTGCAATACCAACAAAGCTTGCTACTGAAGTCAAAACAGAAAAGCCTGATACTAAATTAGTTCTGATGTTTGTGTTTGACATTGCTTCCGTGCTGCTAAAAGCACAAATTAAACACAGTAAAAGTAGATTGCTCTAATAAACTGCAAGAAGGGGTCTTAAAGGCCATAAAAAGGACATAAACACTCAGAAAAAAAGCCCAACCATCTGGGATCACCAACTACAGACACAACAGCCCTGAATACAGCCAGACACACAGACCCACAAAAGAACATAGCAGAAATCCAATTCACCACCCCATCCAAAGAAAGAAGAAGCCATTCTCAAAAACTCCTCTAAGAGATGATCATTTAACCTCTCCTTTATGATTTGTACTCACAAGGCAGCCCATTTTCTTTCAGGTAAATTTAAATTAGACATTTTTTCTTATGCTTGCTTGAAATAGGTCTTTCTTTTCTGGGTAAAGAAAATGCTATGATTTTACACTTTCAATATCCTATTTCACTCAGACACACCAATGATAGAAAAGGAAAAAAAAAAAGAAAGAAAGACATAGCTTCATGGGCCAGAAATAAATACAAAGTGGCAGAACTGGGGTAAAGGCTTGCATCAGCTTGGCTCCTGGTCTTGCAGATAGCAGAGGAAGCTGGGATTTTGGCTTTTGCCTGAAAAATGGGAAAATAAAAGTGCGTCCCCTACCAACCGGCAGCTGTCCTGGAGTGAGGCTGCCTCTTAGTGGGGAGGAAGAGAGGAAGGCAGAATGTGAAAACCAGTCTGAGGTTATGACCCACAGAAAGGTGAGACCCGCTAGGGCTAAAAGCAGCCCAGAAAGCCTCACTCTGATAAGTGCTTGACCTGACTTCCTACAAGCCCACTGACACACCCCTGTCATCTCCCCAGGATGGAGCCATAGGAATCTATGAAAAACCCAGCTCTCGTCTGAAAGTTCTGCAAACATTCAATGTTACTAGAAACCGAAGTGATACAGAGAAAAGTAAAAATCAAATAAAACAACTTTCTGTGAAGATGAGCTAGCAAAGAAACAATGCCGCATCGCAAGAGGGATGCTAATACCAAAATGGATGGAACATTAGGGGGTTAATTCACTGCCCATGGAACGCAAACTATTTCCAAATGACTTTGAAGTACGTGACATGCCCCACAACTTCTATGAATCCATGCTGTGGTTTCTTGGGAGCTTTTTAGTTTTTTTGTTGTTTTTTGGGTTTTTTTGGTTTTGGGTTTTGTTTTGAGACAGAGTCTCACTCTGTTGCCCAGTCTGGAGTGGCACAATCTCAGCTCACTGCAGTCTCTGCCTCCTGGGCTCAAGTGATTCTCCAGCCTCAGCCCCTGCAAACAGCTGAGACTACAGGTGCAAATCACCACACCTGGCGAATTTTTTGTAGAGACAGGGGGTTTTGCCGTGTTGCCCAGGCTGGTCTCAAACTTCTGAGCTGAAAGTGATCCGTCCGCCAAAGTGCTGGGATTACAGGCATGATCCACCACGCCCAGCCGATGCTGTGTCTTCTAACAGCCCTCATTCAGATCTTCCAGGCTACGTTCCTATTTGTTTTCTCAGAGAAGATTGTCAGGAGTTTTCGTGATACTGAGCTATGATTCCTCACAAAGGCAGAGCCCACAGGGCCCTTGGATTCCTCACCATCTCTTCTCCTTTTACCCTTGGTCTCTGCAGAACAGGACAAGTACAGAGGGTGTGAATGTAAAGGTGCTTCCCCTGTCATCAACCAATTCGCTTTATGAACTGGATAAATAGATCGTCTCCTTTCTTCTGTAGCCAAATGATCAAATATGTCATTGTCTCCTAAAGACAAGCAGAAAATCTTGCATTTCATCATTCCACCACTTTTGGAGTCATCAAAGGCCTCCTGCCTTTCACAGAACAGATTTTGTTTTGTCTTGAAATTCTCCCACAGACAACCAACATTAGGCTAATAGTTCTCTGATGGAGGTGGGTCTATATCACTCCTCCATAGCTCCTGAATAGTTTTTCTCAGCCAGCAGCTCTATCAGCACTCCCCAACAGCCAGTGTCCCCAGAAGACAGCACAGTGCAGAAGTGTGGGGCACCAAGAGAGCGGCAGGGACCTCAGCTCCACCACACACTGGCTGGTTGAGTTTAGGCAAGTCACTTAATCTCTCTAAGCTCCCTTCACTTCTGTAAAGCTAAAGTAATAATAATGCCTCTCTCTCAGAGTTGTTTCATCAACACGTGTAGACATTGCTTAGCGAGGGCCTGACAAACAGCAAATGCTAAACTAACGTTAGCTACTATGACTCAGCTAGATTTTTCTTCCTCTTTTCTCACTTCATCCATAAAGGCCCAGTTTCCTAAAAGCAAAATGTCCTCTTCCCATTTGTCCACTTAAAATTGGGCCCGGAGATTGCAAATCAGTCCCACCTTTGGCCATCAAATCAGGAAGGCTTTCTTTTGCAGACTCTAAAGAACAAACAGTAAAAGCCAAGCTGCCCTGCAATAAAAATGGTCTATAAAATGCAAAATGGAAACAAATACACACTTACAGCAGCAGGAGAAATAAAAAAGTCTTGGGAAATACTCTGTCTTTGTCCTTAGAGAAAAACTTAATAAAAGATCCTAAAGCTATTTCTGGAAGCTCTCTCTTTGCAGCAATCCAGAACCTGTTTCTGCCTGAAGCCCAGACTGCACACTGAAAGGTTCTACAGGCAGGAACTCTGCCAGGGCTTTAGTATTTTCCCAAATCATCTCCACAAGCTCACCTTGCACCCTTTCAATTAAACTATTTACTTAATTTTAACATATCGCACTTAGTATGTTTTCGGCCAGCACTGAAGAAAGTTATCCTGATTGGGCGTAATCATCTTCCAGTTTGCAGAGTCCTTTCCTTCCTTCTTAGGAAAAGCAGGGCTGACAGCTTGAGAACACCAGGTTCTCCGCTTTGTCCCTGAGCAGCCAGGCACAGCAGCAGCTGGCCAATGCTGCCACCATCTGTCCGTTTTTAGCATTCGTTGTCACTGAATGTTTACCAAGCGCA